TCCATCAACTCTGGCACCGATTCACTTTATATTGAAAAAAAATGATGCACCTCTCTCTGTAACTGTTGCTGTCAGGCTCCTCATTTGGTCTTAAAATATTCGTATCAACCCGCTCTACATGATCCTCATGTTTTTATTTAACTATTTTATCCATAAATAAATTTCTGTTCCTAATATGAAGCTCCAAATTCACCCCTACAACTGCTAGCCTCGTGAGATGCATTTGACTGAAGCCAAATGCTAAAAAAAATAAACATCTTATTATTGACAAGAAATATGAACTTATTGCCATTCTGGGGGAACATTCAAGGTCTTCATGGAGACAAGCCAGTGGCTGCCCCCTCCAACAGAAACACATCTCTATTTTTGTCTGAATAAACACAATATTATCTAAATTTCAAGCCCAAAGAGCAGTGTAAATCCAGCCTTATACGTATTTATGAGTATGCCACCACATAAACCACCAGTGAATGGTCCTGGCTGCATTCACAGCTCCATCTCTCGTCTCATTGTGGTGAAGTGCTCTTTGTGAGACTGGAGACTCTTTAATTTGCTCTCAAGTCTGACCCCAATCATTAACCTCAAATATTCCCATCAACAAGGGCCTTATCATGCCCACACCGCTCCAACCACTTAATTATTCATTTACGTCCTTTAATGGTTTAAGTTCAATACTGTGTGATTACAGTGGAATGCTGGCTTCCCTGGGGCCATGCCTGTACCGGACTATTATCGCATGAACAGGAAGTAGAGGTGGGCAATGCATTGTCTCCAATCATTATGAAGTAAGCATGATAAGAATATTCAGTTGTCTATGATTGGAATAGGTCAAAGCAACATTATCCAGACTTTACTTTTTTTTTTTACCTTTTTATTTGCTATGCCTCTTACAGCAACATTTATATTTTTTTCAATTATATTAAGAAAATGGTCAAAATGGTCATGAGCTCTGGGTAATGAATGAAAGGACAAGATTGAAGATACAAGCGGCCGAAATGAGTTTCCTTCACAATATGGCTGGGCACTCCATTAGAGTTAGAGTGAGGAGCTCAGTCACACAGGAGGAGCTTGGAGTAGAGCCTCTGCTCCTCCACGTCGAGAGGAGCCAGTTGAGGTGGGTCTGGCATCTGTTATGGATGGAGGGACTATGTCTCTCGACTGGCCTGGGAACACCTTGAGGTCCCCCTGGAGGAGCTGGAGGAATTGTCTGGGGTGAAAGAAGTCTGGGAGTCCCTGCTTAGACTGTTGCCCCTACGACCTGGCCCTGGATAAGCGGGAAAAAATGGATGGATGGGTCAAAAAGTTGCTCAAATTGTTTATGAAAAAAAAAAACAGAAACAGAAATTTATATTTTATACAAGTTTTCACAAGTTTGTACATGTATTGTCTTCAATCTACATGATAATATTGATTTAGTTCTTTTATTTTAGCTGTCTATGTTCTATATTGGAAGCTATAGGTGACAGCAACATGTTTGCTACTATAGACTATATATAAATGGACGTAGTTAATCAGATAGCCACTATGTTCCAAACAGGAAGTGAGCATGAGCGCACTTCTGGCTCCACTGACTCTGGCTCCAACTCACTTTACATACAAAAATTCCCTTTCACCCCTCTGTCTGTAACTGCTGCTATCAGACTTGTTGTTTTGGTCTTAAAATGTTAGCATTAACCTGCTCCACATTATTCTGGTGTTTATATTTTGTCAAATTTGCTCCTATAACTGCTAGCCTGGTGAGCTTCATTTGACTAGAGCTGAACCCATTATGGGTGAGTCCACTTCTTTATAGTCTGTATTTGCTACATGGAACTTACGAATTAAGAATCACAGCAACATATGTTTTTCTATTCCAATAAGAAAAATATAAAAAAAACAAAAAGTTGGCCAATATTTTATGAAAAACAGAAACAACAGAAATGTAAACAAATGAGATGATATAGTTTTTGCACTTGAGTTTTGAATTTTCAGTCTGTTCACTTTTTGTCCGATACATGAACCTAAGGCAAGAGCAGTCACGTTTTAACATGTCTAGTGGTTTTTAAAAAAATCTGGTATAATTATTGTTATCCTACGAGTTCTAAATATTTTCATAAACAAGTTCAAATTTGACAGGCACTTAATTGGACAGCTTGATCCGATTGCCTTTGAGTATATCCAAGAAGCAGATATTAAATAAAGTTAACTTAATTCATGCAATTTTAACTTCTTTAAGATTGTCATTTTTGCAGTTCATTTTTGTCAGTTTCGCCCACCCTTCTCGCAGAGTCCGTGCTTGGCTTGTCAGTGAGAGTGGTGCCATTTTGGAGGTGTGTGGCAGTGGAAGCCCATTCATAATTGAAGCAGAGACAGACTTAATCTGAGCAGCGCCTCCCTGTAGCTGCCTCCAACACAACTGGAGCTGCTCCTCTGTTGCTAAGCGACCGACCGCGGCAACGACGGGAAGAAAGTGCATCCTCCAGATCTTCGGCATCACAGCGCTCATTTAGGCAGCGCTGGCACGGTCCGGAGTCACAGTACAACTTTTATTTTGTATATATGATTTCACTTAACAATATGCATTTAGATTTGTAAACTATGTGAAAAATGTTAATTATTTTAAAGATGCACTATGTAACTTTTCTGATAACTGGTCTGCCACATGCCTATGGAGATTTGATTGCTTTTCCTGAGATATTCTTCAATTTATTTTATTACAAGTGTTTTTAGCATTAAATATATATATCTTAAAAGACGCATTGTTTCTGTGAGTGGGGTTGCCTTGACACAGATCTGACATGTAACTTGACCTGGTGGCGTTATCATCATGTCTCTGTGGAGATAAATGAGAGTAAGGCCATAGTCTGGAACATTCTAGGATAAAATCTTCAGAAGGACGGACAAGTGTCGGACTCTTCAAGAGAAAAGTTGCATCTCTAATTATTCTTACAATTGCAGCCTAATCAAAAACACAATAATAATGAGTAAATAGTAAATAGTAAATATGTAATGTCTAGTTACTGCAAACAAGAAAATACTTCAGTTTCATGTGGGCATATTTGTATAGCCGAGTATAAGTACTTAACTATGTAGTTGTGTCTGCAAACAAGTTCTAAATCTACTCTGTTTACAAATATTGTGATGACATAATTTGCAACTTAAAATGTGATTTGGTGTTTTGCCTATTAAATGATTCTGCAAATACACCACCATTTTGCTTTCTTATAACAACATGTTTTGTAATGACCTTAAATCAGCAAACTGGTTCAGTAAAGTAAGCAGAAACAGATCAGAGAAAGCAAAGAATCACTGCTAATCACAATTCTAGACATCTTCTTCCATCTCTTCAGTCGGCTGTTTAAAATCACACTTTTTTTTTATTCCTCACGATCCGCATCGACAAAGGAATCAGTGACAAGTAATTGCCAAAGTACAGCCTCCTCATTAGTTTTGAGAAGCCCCTAATTTGCTTGCAGAGAGATAAATTATATGGTTTCAACTGTGGTGACATTCACACACCATTGACGCGGCCAGGCATCGGCGCAGCGCAGTGCTAAGTGGATTGATGCGCACACAACAATGTATTTGCCGGTCTATATCATCCATATCCAACCAATGACCGGCCAGGCAGGTTTCCATGGCGACCGGAGGCGAGGTACCGTTCCCCTGTCAGCTCTAGTTTATTGCGAAGCTTTATTGTTTTTGGGGGAATGGTTCAGCGGCTGTCGGCAAGGTGAATTTTTGATTAGACATGTCTGACTAATAAACACACAGAAGACCGTTTTCCGACTTGAAGCACTATGAAATTAATTTGTGGAATAGCCGCATGTAAAGTGAATGGGTGCTGTGTCTCAGTCTAATGGCATTACAAAGCAGGGAGACGTTTCTAGTGTTTGGTAATGCAGTTTGAGCACACTCTAGTGGACAAATTGTGTTACTACATGAGAATATGCCTATATATTTGCATTGATCTTCAAGAATGGAGAGCGACTCATTCACACTGTTTAGGCAGTAGATAATCTATAAAACTATTGTATTCCCATTAAAGGCCTATGCACATTTGTATTACTAATGCTTCTGTCAAGATTTTGTTGCACTGCACTGTATCTAATCTATTGTGCTTGTTATTTGATTACAAATAAACAAATGATTCAGATTTTATGACAGCAATAATAAGGAAATTATATTAACCACAGATTAAACTTAAACTAAAAAATAATATATAAAAATATAAAAAAATAACAACAACAACAATAATAATAATAATAATAATAATAATAATAATAATCGTTGTGGTCGTCATCGTCATCGTCACCATCATCATCATCATCGTCATTATCATCATATAAAATAATCTAGATAAGACTTTTCTTATAAATAAATACTCCGAATAGGCAAGGCAAATTTATTTGTATAGCACAATTCGTACACAAAGTACTTTACAGAATGAGAAATACATTAAAATCCCAATACAAACAAATCAAAACACAAATAATCATCTTACAATTAAAAAGAGAGACATTAAATGAAAAAGAATAGTGTGGAGTGAAAAATTTGTTCATAGGCAAAATGTTAATTATAGGCTGCTTTTTTTTTTTCTTTTTTTTTTTTGACCATCGATTGAACTTCCTTTTATTGTAATGATTATGCCAGATAGAAAAAAAAATAGTCTAATAAAATTGGAAATATTACAATATTCTCTAAAATAATAATTAATTTATACCTATGTACCTATATTGAATATCCTAATGTCTATTTACATGTACCATAGTAGCAGTAGTTTGTTTATAATGCGCTGAAAACACTGGCGAGATCCATTGGTCAGATCAACTCAAACCGCTAATCCTTCATTTGAACTCAATTTCCCAGCATCCTCAGAGACAGGTGATTCATAATATTGGTGAAATCTCGCGAGAAGTGCGGTCTGACCCTGCCCTATGTCTCGCGCATTCGCAGCTCCTCGCTCAGTATATAAAGCAGGACGACGGCGAACGGAGGACGGCTGGGGAGTCGCAGCCCGGGATTGTAAATAAGACCGTTAAAACTGTGTTATTTACAAACGTGATGCCGGCTGTTTTAGAGGCTCGTGCCCAGCTGATTTAAGTCGTTTTTTGGTCATTTTTGGCTTTTATTTCTCGCCTATTTCCGTGTGGTTTTGACACTACGCAAATAATGGCGAGCTCGGCTAACTCGAACCCAGTGGTAAGGATCAATCTCTAAGGACTGTGCACTGCAGGGGATGGGGTAAAGTTTGAGGAAACATGATGGAAAGCTGGCTCTTACTGGTACAGTGAAGTAAATATGCCTTTGCAAGCACTGCAGTTTAATAAACAAGGTCTTATCTGCCATTTTAGTGAGTTTCAGCTGGTTCTACTTCTCTTTAGGCTGATCTGTGGACTAACACTGGAAGCTTTATTCAGTGTAAATATTAACTCATGCCTACAACGCCACGACTTTGCTTCATAGTCTACGAAAGGCAGATTTTCACCTTGTTTTTGGCAACGGTCTTAAATAGTTTGTGCTTTTACTACACTTTATTTATTTAGACTAGTTTGCAGGTCTTTTGTCAAAGGTGTCTAACTACAGATGTTCGCAAAGCACTTACATTATCCATGTAGCTTAAAATCGCGTTTGAAACAAGCATAGCCAGAAGACGTGTGGTATTTTTTTTCAGTCTGCCTTATCATTGTCCACCATTTCCACAACAGAAAGCAGGACAACTCTCCCAAAAAACACAACTTCCGTCAATCCTATATAACATTTGCCATTTCCCACGCAATAACGACACGATAGGCCCTGGTTTCGTGCGCAATAAGGCTGAAATAGTCCTCCAAAGTGTGATAAAAATCGGCTTTGTACGCGACTCTGAGGCTCGCAGTTCCCCGCTCAGTAAAATGGCTTCCTTCTGTCCTCTCCTCTCGTCTCTGGCCCTCCTCTTTTCCGCTGCCTGGTTTTATACGGCCATATTGCCTCTCTAATATAGCTTTGCCCGGGATGGGAAGGTGCTACTCCGCGCTACGTCACCGGCTCCGCTTATAAACAGCACTCCGCTTTAAATAGTGGAGTCGGACCGAAGGGAGGGAGAGACGCGGCCGAGAGCGCGCAGTGGACAGTGGGACAGCGCACGGTGTAGGGAGCGCAGTGCGGATCTGTCCTGAAATGTTCCTCAGTGTCGCTTTAAATCCACGCTTTGTACAGTCTGTGGTGTAAACTGACGCGTTATAGCCGCTTGTTGTTTTGGTTGAGATAAAGCAGTGTGGTGCAAGCGCAAGACTTAAACACAGCGTATTATTAAGCTGCAGCGTTGATGGTCAGAGCGCAGGACTGTCCAGAAATAGCTCTAGGCTGTTTGGTATTGTGTTACAGGATTATCCCATGCTACTTTAAAGGTCGAATGTAGTGTAGTTTACAAATGTATTTGGACAAGCTATTATGGTCATTTAAAATGGTAGTAACAAATTACACAAGTTTACTCATATGCTGCAGTAGTGGGTTATGCACTATATTACTTACATAAATAGACCTAACACATGTAAACAATACTTACACTAATACTACTACTACTGTTACCTCTTGAATTTTAATAGAAAGCATGATTTGTTATTGTAATGTATTCTGAAGGACAAACAATACATTTTCATACGTTATTCAGTTTTGCTCATTTATTTATCATTTATTTTTATATATAGAAATAGTTGTTTGTATTGTAAAGTATTACAATTAACACAATTATATATTTATATTAAGTGTAATGTGGTTAAACTTTGTGATTGGGAGTCTGCCACCTGCTTGTTTTTATAGATATGTCATTGAACCTCTTGGAATGTTCCACAGTATGGCATTAAACAGCTCTGCCTTACATTTATTCAATTACAGATGGTTTTATAGCTCAAAAATATCTAGAAAAACAGGCATTCTGGGTGAGCAGGGTTGCCTCTCCACAGATATGACCTGTAACTGGTCTGATTTGATCTCCATGAAGATAGAAAGGTTTAATACCATACTGTGAAACATTCCATACGAAGCAATAACATCTCCATGGAGACGAGCATTTGACAGACCCTCCTCTGCATCTTTAACATAACATGTGATTTGATGTATTTTTTGCAGCCTAAGCTGTACAAGTCGGTGATTGAAGATGTCATCACTGAAGTACGAGAGCTGTTTTTGGACGAAGGAGTGGATGAACAAGTGCTCTTGGAGCTCAAAACGGTAAATCACTCTAACACAATTATTTTCAACCTGATATATTTGCAGATGTGAAATGGGCTGTATTATTGAAACCAAATGAAAAGAGTTCAAGTGCAGACACAAATGCATGCTGTTTTATTATATTTGTGTGTAATATAAAAAGTAATAATAGCCTACAGGCGATATGGGTTTTTGCAATTGAATTCTTTACATATATCATTACTACCTAAGAACACCATAATAATAAAACAGAAAATGATACTGAAGTAGAGGTTTGACTATAAAGAATTTCTAATATTATTGGTAGACCTAGAGCACAGAATTAGACTAATAGTAATAAAATGACTAAATAAATAATAATAATAATCATCATCATCACATCATAATCCAAACATATCTGGAGTTGTGTTTTGTTTCATTCACACGTGTTTAACTCACACCCTCTGCATATTAAGGCTGAGTTCTTCTCTCAAACTGAAAACACTGGTGATGTCATGTGGAAATACAGGAAGTTTTACATTGTGTTTTTAAACTCCATACACCTTCACTAGAATCATTTGGACGATTTCAGCCCTAGAATTGCCAATCTCTACTGAGCAAAAGGTGTAAGGTAGCTGTTAACTTGAAAACTACTGCTTCATGACATCACAAGGTGAAACAAGCATTCTGAGCTTTGGAGAGGTAGACAGACTAATAATAAAAGTCTACTCAAACATGTGTGAATGAAACGAAACACAACTTCAGGTATGTTTTGCATATATTGATTTTTGAAATATTATAACATGGCTAAAATATCACCATCATCAAGAGTTAGGTTTGTGTAATATAGAACTGTTAATGAAATGTGGTTTTAAAGGGATATTGTCAGTTGTTTGTTTTTTTTGCACATGGGGAGTGTGGATGAGTGTCTTTATTGTGTGTACATGTGATCTTCAGCTGTGGGAGAATAAGCTACTGCAGTCGAAGGCGGTGGAGGGCTTCCACACAGAGGAGCAGGCGGCTCTCCAGGCTCAGCAGCAACAGCAGGTCCAACACGTTCACTCCAATCCACAGGTGACCACAGCCCAGGCCCAACCGGTCATCCTGCCCACGCAGCAGCAACAAGGTACAGGCTACTGCAAACCCATGTGCATTGGATTCAACCAGAGCTGTCACGATAACACATTTTGAAGCATGATATATTTCTACAGAGAAATATCACGATAAACAATAGCACTGAAACTAGAATAATTTGTCCTGGATGTGACTTTTTCATCCCTCTACCACTCAGATGTTACTGTATTGCATTAAAAATAGCAGAAACCTCTCCACTAGTGCAATATAAATATGCACATGATAAATATTGATGCCTAAAATATATTGTTCTAACTATTATATATTGACCCAGAAGATAATGAACATTGGTAAGGCAATGGTGCTTTATTATTTGATACTCTAGTTTCCTTGAAATGGGGGCAGTCAATACAACAAATATATATATATATTATTATATTTTATGTATTATATTATATTCATTATATTTTTTTCCTCATGATCAATCACAACTTTTAATTGTACTCTTTCTTATTAAAACAAAAAACAGTAGATTCAGTATTAATTCCCTGATCATAACAAACAAGACAGATTGAAAATTATGAACATTATAACTGTACTTCTAAATTCTAATGCCATCTACATTCTGAATAGATCTGGGATGTTAATGTTTACATTTTTTCTCCTTTTTAAAACCCTCATACAATCATGATGGCGTAGAAAGTATACTGGTATGTGAACAACGTAAGTGACTGAACAGATAAGAACAAAGAAAAAGTTGTCTTATTTATAATACTGTAAGGCTCCCCACAATATTTTAATAATCCCATACACTATTGTAGCATTCATGATCATAAATATTTGGTTTTGTCCACAGCGCCCCAGCAGCAAGTTATTGTTCAGGATTCAAAGATTCTTCAACACATGAGTGCAACGGGGATGGTGAGTTTAAATATTATTCTACATTGACCCTTGTTTCTCAGAGCTTAAAGTCTGTTGAAATTGGATTCTCATACACATTCACATACAAGCCGATTCACACCAGGAAATGCATTGATTTCTTTTGGGGAGTAAGGTCATATTGGCTTTTTACTTCTTTCTCGCCATCACCTAAAATAACCTTTTGCTATGGCTGAAGCTTGTAGTGGGAGGCTGAATATTTACATAATTACAAAGCGTTTTTTCTCCACAAGCCAAGGGACATAAGAATATAATATGGTAATTTAAATAGCTTCTTAATTATGCTTCTCTGGAGATGTCCACTTAAGTTAAACACCTCTTAAGTTGATGTTTTTTAATTGCCTTCAAATGGTGATATACTTGTCCCCTAGGCATTGAGTGTACTAAACAGCCAGAATAACTGTGTAGTTTAATCATGTGGGTCAATTTTGTGCCTAATGCAGTTCTTTGTTTTGTCCACTAGAGTGCAGCAGCCACCGCAGCAACTCTGGCTTTGCCCACAGGTGTTACCCCGTACCAACAGCTCATCACCAGCCAAGGTAAGAAAATACATTGGAAAATTGGTTAAATCTTATAGTTTTAGCTGTTATGTACATGTTATGCAAAATGAATGAGGTTTTAAACATGTTACAGTGTTGTATATAGTTTTATTCATGCATGTTTGAATAAGTAATTTCCTGCATTTGTGGCTTGAATGCTCAAAAAAAATAAAAAATAAATCTGTTTTCATACTTAGTGTTGTACATGTAGGATTTGAAAATGTCTTGTAGCCAATTTTCAACAATAAAAAGGGTAAATGAAGGTCACAGTAAAGTCTCTATACCACTAGTCACTCTACCAAAGAGGCTCAACAGTTCTGTATGTTGGAACAGGAAGTGAATTACTCTTCTATTATTAAACCATTTTAAAACTGTTTATAATTAAAAAACTTAAAATCACGACTAGGTTATGTAGATTATGTGGTAGTACTAAATACCTGAAAGATAACATAATAATTTCTCATCTCTAAAATATTTCAGGTCAGATCCTTCAAGTGGTTCGTGCAGCTAATGGAGCTCAGTACATCATTCAGCAGCCTCAGCAGCCCATCCTCCTCCAGCAGCAGATGCAGCCCGGAGGAGTCCAGGCACCGGTCATTCAACAGGTAATGAAAACATGCAGATATGAATTTAAGATCAGCTAATCATATCAAAAACTAATATGATAATATGAGAGTGAGCTTAGGTCATTGCCAGTTGTTAATAATATGTGTTAATAATATGGTTGGGCCTTTTTAATCAAGAGGTCTACAGCAAATTCATTCAGTAAAAGCATGTGGTTTGGATCAGAGTTCATATATTGAAAGAAATTTGACTTTTAATAAAGACTGAATTGACATTTAAAACAAAAACACAGAATATTTCGTTCTATGTCAAAATAAAACTGAATAGAAAATCATGATCAAAGTTTTATGAAAAAATGTCAATTTTATTCTCTTTTTGTCATATCACCCAGCAGGATCGAACACTGTAAATGGGCCCTAATCTCCAATGATAACTTTTATAATGATAAAAATTAAACTAGTCCACAATTCTCCCAGTGTGAAAGATAAAACTTACTTTTATAAAAGCTATTAATGGTTAAATGTGGCTGCTCACATCCAGTTTGAAATTAAAATAAAATGGTCCAAAGCCAGACCCTTGTGGAACCCCTCACAATTTTGTATAACATCCCTCTCCTAGTATCATTATGAATGTATGAAGGATTCTGTTCTTGTATTGAATATGATTAGGAAGTGGCTCAGACTTGATAATGAAATCCCGGGTCTTGGTCTGGCTGTGCAGAATAACTAATGTGTTATCTAAAAGGCCATAATGTGTTTTGCTGTAGGTCCTGGCCCCGATCCAGGGAGGCCTGCCCCAGCAGACTGGAGTCATCATCCAGCCACAGCAGATCGTCTTAGCTCCAGGAAACAAAGTCCAAGGAAATGCACAGGTCAGCACTTTAAACTCACTGCACAGACTTTACTTTAGAACAACTTAATCTGAAAAATCCTTAGATTGGGGCCATGTATCCACAAATCCGGAACTGATGATGTATAGCTCTAAAGTCTGTTGTCCTGCTGTATTTGTTCAGTCATGCGACGCAAAGAACATGCAGTGGACTAGATCACTGTCCGCCAAATTAAATGCAAAACTACAGGCTTATAGAATACGGTCATGTGTCTATAATGTGTATCCTGTTGTGTTCTTGAGCAAGACACTTTATTCACTTCGTCCATGTATGAATGTGGTGTGTGAGTGGTCGGTGAAATGGAGGCTACAGGCAACCACACTTGTTAGACCCAGGGCAGCTGTGGTCATAGCTTCCCACAATTGAGTGTAAAGGGTGAATGAGTAATTGACTTTGAGAACCAGTGTGTTTATTATTTTACAAAATCACCATGGTAAAGATGCTGCACCCGATTTTTACGGTCTTAAAAACAGAACTAGTTAATTTTAAGCAATTCGCAGTGATCCAAAGTTATTCCTCACTTAATTTATGCAAGTCCAGAGCGGAATTTTGCTGTTGCTGTAAAATTAGTGAACTAATATTGGCACTTACTGATTCATAGACAAGAAAACACTTTAGAATTGGATACAGACAGACACAGCAGACTTATTTTGACCTCAAGAGCTGCTTATACAATAAATCTGTACTAGGGCAAGAGAAATTTTACTCAAATACAGGTCCTATATTATGCAAAATTGACTCTTGTGAGCTTTTAGACAGTTGTTATCACCTCAAAAACATACCCACAGTTGTTTTGCTTCAGTCACACAAATTTGAGTTATCCGTTTTTATTATTTTATTAATAGTCTGTCTACATTTCCAAAATACTGTGTTCCACCTTGTGATGTCATGTAGTGGTAGTTAACAGCTACCTTTTACCTTTTGTTCATTAGAGATGGGCAATTGTTACGACCCAGCTCGTTGAGGTCAGGGAAGTAACAAAAATAATCAAGAATGAAAATGGAATAAATTAAATAATGTTTAATTAACAGGAGTGCAAAAGGTAAATTAACAAAACAGACTAAAATATACAGAAAATAACCTAAAGTAAGAAACAAAACAACAGAATTAACAGAGGAGTTTTGTGCCACAAAACAGGTCACGCAGGCTTAAACAATAACAAGTGGTAAGGAACACACACAAAACTCAAACAAAGTAAACCACATAAGCCCACAAACAGAATTGAGTGATCAAATAAAAGAAGGCACAATGCAGAACTACACACACATGAACACAAACACAAAATGGCAGACTGGCCACCAAGTCCAGCAGCCCCGAACAGGTGCTGAGAATTTCCTTAAAGTGGGGGCAGTGGCTGCAGGTGAGGTGGGCGTAGACAAGCCCCACCAATCACGGGCCAGGGCTCCCACAGCAGGAATCAGGACAGCCAGCAAAATAATTAAAATCACACAAAACAAATTACAACTGAAGTCCTGGGGCCGTAACAGCAATTCCAGGACTGAAATCATCTAAATGATTCTAGTGAAGGTGTGTTTTTCATTTGAGAAAAGAACTTGACCTAAATATTCAGGATTTGTGTGTGAATGAAACAAAACACAACTCTGGGTATGTTTTTGATAAGGAAATATTATAACATAGATCAGAATAAAGCTCAATATAGTAGACCCTTTCAACACCATCTCCTGAGTTACACATGCATGACACAAACCTTTACAGTCTCATATTGAAACCCTCTGTTATCCCCTCTGCTGATTTCAGGTGATGCAGGCAGCGGCCATGGCCCCTCAGCCCGGGCAGCCCACCGCAGCAGCTCAGGTCCAGTCTGTGCAGCAGGTCCAGGGCGCTCCGCAGGTGGCCCCCTCCCAGCCCCAGACACAGACACAGCAGCCTCCCATGATGCTCCAGGTGGACGGGGCAGGAGACACGTCCTCGGAGGAAGATGAGGATGAGGAGGAAGAGTACGATGAAGATGAAGAGGAGGAGAAGGACAAAGATGGAGCCGAGGACGGACAGGTGGAGGAGGTGAGGAATCTGAATAATCGAATGACTAGTTTAACGACAACAGGATGAGCCAGTGATTCCTATCAGAGAGTAATGGTGGATCTCTACAGTCTAATTTTGTTGATTATGGCCTAAAAATGTGCTAAGGAATACAATTGTTGTACATAACACGTCCTGTTATGCTTCCTGTAGTGTCACCTGTAGTCTTAGAATCATAGAAAAGGAAATGTATTGTTAAGGAAAAGCTATTATGTGAAATCAACTCTTCAGAGCTTTTATAGTTTCTCATAGTTTAGCCTCTCTAAGCTGTTTTTGGAGTGATTCATGCATATTTGAGTAATCTTTAATCGATTTTCTTCAAGACACCATATTGCTGATCAATTCCCGTTTTCACCACCTCTGGCATGCGCCCATTTCTTTGTGCTTACTTCTTTCTTCAGTTTTATTCTTGTTGTCATTTTGCTACAAATGAAAAAAATCCGCTGCTTGCTAGCGTGATAGTGCCACCTAGTACCACCTAGTACCTCCTAGTACCTCCTAGTACCTCCTAGTACCTCCTAGTACCTCCTAGTACCACCACTCAATTTCATTTCTCTCCAGTGACTAGGTCAGGAATCGGAATACACTAGACGGTTCTCAAAAACCCTGGAAGAGCAAGTTTGGGCACCAGCCAATTAGCAAAGAGCCATACATTTTGTGTTGGCAACGATTCCCGAGATTGAAAGTTTAAAGCCAGAACAAAGAGAATGTTTGGTGAATTTAATCAAGGGGAAAGACGTTATTGTCCTTCTTCCTACGGGATTTGGGGAAAGCTTAATATAGCAGTTAGCCCCGTTAGTGGCGCATTACATACATCACGACCAACATTTAATCGATTGATTAAATGAAAAAAGTACACATCTGCTGTTGAGCGAACAAATCCTACCACTGCGAGGTCAGAAGTGAAACATCTGATCAATCAGGCTAGTGATGTGCAGTTATCCAAAGGAGTTGCCGACTCTTTGTTGTGATGACTTATGTGTGGCATTGTGTGCTTCCATTGGGTGCTACAGTTTTCTAACATGGAAGTCAGCGGACTTGTTTTAAGTTGTTGATGAAAGCTGTGATTTGAACTGTCCAAATTATAACAATGATCCAAGAGTGTCATATATTATGATTACATACAGGCTCAAGCACACTGTGGGATCTTTAAAAATGCTTGGTGCTGGGTGCTTGATTTTTCATAAGATCCGTGCTGTCCATGCAAAGCAGCTCGCAGATCCTCCACCTGAAAAGTGACATAGTGCACCTTTTATTCATGAAAAGAACCTTTTAAGGCAGAGTGTAGCCTGGAGCATGAGCTAGTACGTTTGAATGAGACAGAGAGGTATGTGATTTCTGACCTCATGCATTTTGATTGTCTTCCTTTTTAGGAGCCTCTGAACAGTGAGGATGATGTGAGCGACGAAGAGGACCAGGAGCTGTTTGATACAGAGAATGTAGTAGTGTGCCAGTATGACAAGGTAAGACACGACCTTTGACCCCCATCTCTGCCTTCCCCTGTAACCTCATGTGAACCACTGTCAAAAAGTGAATATGAAACAAACTGCCTTTAGGGTTATACTTGATGCATTATTCAGTGTGTAATTTCCCTATGGCTGAAAACTGTATGTAAAAAGAGTACAAGTAACTCAGCCCTGATACAAAGTGCCATGTTAAGTTGTTCAAATGAAGTTTAAAACAATAGCCGCCTTCTTTTAAAGTTACATTTCAGATCAGAATGTGGCGGTGGTGTGTGGCTAATTCTGGGATTATCACCCAACGATGTCACAAATTGAGCCCGAACTTTTTGGAGCACCTCAGTAGGACAAAATATAATGTATTACTTGAACAAGCATTAATGAATCAATACACTATTCAAGAGGTGTTTTTAATAAGTTTAATTAAGGACACACCATTTGCATTTTTTATATGAATAGATGCTGATGTAGGGGAAATATTTAAGTGTTTTCCCTCATTGATCAATCCCAATTTTTTTATTCAAGTAAACTTTGGCTACAATTCTGCATATTTACAAGTACATGAGTTTCTTTTGCATTATCTTGTCTTTTTAATATGCTTTGTCCCTTTAAGAAATAAATACAAATACAACATAAACCACACAGACTTTGATATATTTTTTTAAATTTAAGTAAAAGTTCCACTTCCAAAATCTGAACTCCCAACCAAATGCTTTTACTGATGGAGGATTGCTGGTTGACATCGCCAATCCAATCTAACTTTATTTGTATACCAGATTTTACCAACACAAAGTCTCCAAAGTGTGGCACAGAGTAGGCACAGTATAAATTAAAACACTGAATAAATTATAGAGAAATAAATCTTGCCTAAAAGACCCAAGCTGATCATTGACGATTTCAAATGACTGAATCTCAATTTCAATAAAAAATGATAAATCGCACAGCCCTAAGATAATGTTTTTTTTAATAATCTGGAAAATGAAGTGTCAATGCATTTGATATGCTCACATCTGTTATTCTATCTCCCATTTGAAGTCCGTCTGTCTGAAAGTGTGTCCCAGTGTCCCTTTAAAACACCCACTCTTCATTTCCTCTCCAGATTCACAGAAGTAAGAACAAATGGAAATTCCACCTGAAGGACGGGATCATGAACCTCAATGGGAGGGACTACGTTTTCTCCAAAGCCATTGGGGACGCCGAGTGGTGAAACTGCGAAATTACACAACAGAAAGGAGACTGAACTGACGAAAAACTCCGATCTCCAGTTAACAGACACTTCATATTCTTCCATATCCTGTGATCAAGACAGGGACATATTTTTGGAGCGTAAGACAAACCCAAAAGACTCTTAAGATACTGTAAAAAAAAAAAAAAAAGTCTAAAAATCCGGGTTTGTTTGAAAGCTTTGGGGGAGATTTATGCCTCTATCCGGCTGTTAGTTTTCCTCACATGTTCCTTCATACACACATAGAAAGCATAGTAAACATTTTAACTCCGGGGCAGTGGACCAGAACAATCGGACCTATTCAAAACTGCAGAATAGGTCAAAGCCTGTAGTTGAAAATGCTTCAAAATGCACTGCTAGTACTTGGTTGGCTGGATTAACAGTGAAGTCTCATTACTTAGTGCCATCCAGTCAAAGTTTGCTGCCTTTAGAACAGCCAGTCATTTTTGGCCTTTTTTTTTTTTTTTTCCAGTTTCATTTTCGTTTGTGTGTACAAATGGTGCTTCAGAGTGTTTTATGTAGTTCTCGTTTTTAATAAATGTTGAATGAAGGTTTAAAATAACAGTCCAAATTTAGATCATTTTAATATTTTTTTAGCAGATGTCGCGTATCCAAAGTTAGTTTTAACCTTCTCTGGAGCTCCATTCCATCGTCAGAAAAATTTCAGAAAATTCTTGAAACTGTACAACTCCTTGCTGTGTCTCGTCTTTGTGCTTGCACTCTTTGTTATGGTGGACCTGAGGGACAAAGTCACGCAGATTCACAAAGCACAATAACAATTAGAGCAAAAACACATCAACTAATTACTAAAAAGCATTGCAAAAAACCCAACAAAAAACTAAATATATATATAATAATAATCTGAAATTGGCAAATTAACAAAACACATCAACTAATTACTAAAAAGCATTGCAAAATAATAATAATAAACAAATAATAATAATCTGAAATTGACAAATTAACCAAACGCATTATAAAACAAATACTTCAGGGAGACAAAAAGCCTTCCTGATTAAATTAATTTAATGAATTAAATTTCCAAACATTAATTTAGGAAAGCAATAACAATATCAAAGCACAACATCTAAAGAGAATGCCAAGACGATTTACAATGCACAATTTTAGAAATGTACACTACTTATAGTCAACAAAATATAGACAAAAGCAAAATAAAATAAATAAGAAGAAGAAAACAAATAAAAGTAAAAAATTAAAATAAATTAATAAATAACTAATAATAATAATCTGAAATTTACACTACTTCTGACAAACAATATACTCACTAAAACATGGGTAGAAAAAAATAAATAAAATAAAATAAAAAATTAAACTAAAAAACAACAAAAGTAAAAACTAAATTGCTAATCTGAAATTCCAGACAATTCAAAATGATAAAATCCATGATCAAAATGGAAAACAAATTCGGATCACGAAACACTTTCTTGTTTAATTGAGATTTACGTTTGACTTTTGCAGTTCCACATTTAATTGCTGTGACTTGTCTCGCCTCCGGGCCACCGTAGTTTTGTCAATATCGTGAATCAGTCCACGCGTTGAAGGATGGCTTGTATTTTGTGTGAATGCCGCGTCACTACCTTTTTTCTTCTTCTTGCACAATAATCTGCGAATACACAACAGTTAGTTTTTATGTGTTATGAGACGAGTGTTGTATTTATTCCAAATGTTGTAATAATTATTTGAAAGGGTTGGTAAAGTTGCACCAAACAGTGCTCTTATAATTATCTAATCTAAGTGTTCCTTTTTTTTTGTTTTGTTTTTGGCTGGACCGTGTTTTAAATCATTTTGTCCACTGTGTCCTTCTCCCTCTCTGCTTTTCATTTTATTCATGACTTTTAAATGAGAATATTTTCTATCAAAGTGAATTTAACTGAAGGGGCTGGTGTGTCTATGCCGTTGGTTTCTAGTGGCCCCAATGCAGCAATTTGAAATAAAGTCTGTGTTTTTTGACCTTTTGCGTTGCTTTGTTTACTGTGTGGAATAATAATAGCAGTGGTAGCTCAGAATGGCAAAGTAGGAGCTCATTAATATAATTCTGAAATGAAAGTGTGCTACATTTTGGTATTTTGCATAGAGAATTTTGAATCATTTTTACCGTTAACAAGATTTTGGTCTCTGGTGATTAAGCTGAATTGGCCCACAAATTGTGCACTTAAGTTTATTTGTTTGGTAAAATATGACTCTTGTTTTCATTCATCTGGTTGGGAGAGTACATACTTTTTTTAATGGAAAATCACTGACGCAGAGATAACTTATAGAGGAGAATCTGCTACGTTTTACCATGGAGATGTTGTTATTTTGCCTGGATTGTTCCACAGTGTGACATTAAACTCCTATCGAGCATTTATTTCATTCTTCAAAAATCAGATTTGACCAGACTGTATAAAGAAGATGATGAAGGGAGTGTGACGTGACCCAGAGTGTTCAGCTCCAGTCAAATGAAGCTCATCGAGGCTCCCTGTTAAAGGGACATAATTGCATAGTTCCATATTAGAAATGAAAACTGATCTATAAAATAGCAAAATAAAAACACCAGGATCACGTAGAGCAGGTTAATATGAACATTTTAAGACCAAAATGACAAGTTTGACAGCAGCAGTTACAGAGAGGCAATGTTTTTTTCAGTACTTTTATATATCATCTATGGAGAGCAGAGATGGGGACTTGCAAGTCGAAACTTGGACTCAAGTCAGACTTGAGTCACTATTTTTAGGACTTGAGACTTGATAAAATAGACTAAGACTTGGGACTCCATTTCAACTTGAAGCTCAGAGACTTGGGAATTGATTCAGACTTTAACTTTAGGCCTGTGACTTGAGAAGACTTGATACTTCTCCTAAAAATATATATCTTTTTAGAAAATACTTTTCACTTTACAGTTGATACTTGTTGTGTTAAATTTTACAGGAACAAACTGAAACATGTTTCTCCCACTTCTCTGTTACTTTGGATGTAACTGAAGCACACTACAACTCTTACATAAATATTCATAAATGTACCATGACGTTTTAAGTACAATTTAGTTTAAAACTCATAAATTGCACAAAATCTAAGCTATATTTGGTACTTTTGTTTTATGTTGTGAAATGACTTGAGCTCAAAGCAGACGACTTGGACTTGACTTGGACTTATGGGCCAGTGACTCAAGACTCGACTTGGACTTGCCTGTCTTTGACTTGGGACTTGACTCGGACTTGTGGTCGAAGACTTGAGACTTATTTGCAACTTGCAAAACAACGACTCGGTCCCACCTCTGATGGAGAGTACACACTTCGCAAATCGCTTAAACAGAGGTAACTTTTCTTGGAGGATCTGCCCCTTGTTACCCTGGAGATGTTATTGTTTTGCCTGGATTTTTCCACAGTAAGGCTTTAAACTCTTCTGTCTGCATTTATTTCATTCTTCACAGATCAGGTCTGACCTGTAACTTGGACTGATGGTGTCATTGTTTCTATTCCAGGCAAAGAAACATCTCCACAGAGACAAGTAGGTGGCAGACCCTTCGCCAGAAAAGTTCCATAATACACCTTTAAAAGCATCATTAAACTAATATTTTTCTTTAGATTCATTCATAACAGCACTACAGTTCGGACAGATATTACATTTCCTTGCTTTGAGCCTGTTACTGTAGCTGTAATGTTTGTGTGAGAGTGCAGATCTGTCTCTAAAGTCCTTTGTAATCCTTCAGCTGGATCATAGGCGGTCTTTCCCCGTCCCTCCTTTAGTTCTATACCCCAAGCTCACTAAATCCAAGTTCACTCAATTCAAACTCACTCAATCCACGCCTGTTTCCTTTGGAGTTATTACAGCTCAAAGTTCAGGCAGAATTTAAAGGGCCCATATTACACTATTTTCTCATCTATGTTATGATTTTCTTTATCAAAAACATACTTGGAGCTGTATATGCATATTTAGGTTCAAGTTCTTCTCTCAAACTTCCACTTTGTGATGTCATGTGATAATCCAGGAAATGCCCCACTGTGTTTTTAAACTCCACAGTCCTTTACTAGAATAATTTGGATGGAAGTTCAGCCCTGGAATTGCCAATCTCTGCTGAACTAAAGGTAAAAGTTAGCTGTTAACATGAAAACTACCGCTTCACAACATTTTGAGCTTTGGAGATGTAGACAGATTAATAATAAAGGATGAGTCAAGCATGTGTGAATGAAATGAAAGAAAAGTACGGGTATGTTTTGGAAGAGGAAACAACAGCTCGACTTTGCATGATATAGGACTTTTAAACCATGACTGAATATGGAGATTGGCTGTCACTCCTACTCCCAGTCACACTTCACACTACGGGCATTTAAAAGGAGGAAAAAAGGCTGTATTTTGGAGGTTCTGAAGTGTCTGTATTGAATAATCAATTTAATCAAGGTGGAAAACATTTTATGTAACTTTTCTCATGGAGATGTTATTCTTGTTTAGCCTGGAACAGTATGACATTAAATTTATCAGTGATTTATTAACAGTTATTTTTATCACTCACACACATATATACCCTGAAAAACATGCATTCCTACCGTGAGCGGACTCTCCTCTCCACAGACCTGACCTGCAACTTGGCCTGTCATTATCACCTCCCTGCTTCCATGGATGTTGATCAATTTAAAGGGACAGTTTGGAATTTTGGACATAGGACCTCATTTCCTAGTGAGCCAGAGTGTTGGAGACTTGTTGAGACACTTTTTTAAATATTCCATCCAGTCCTTGTATTTGCAGAGGTCACTGGTGCTAGGCTAGTGCATGTCAATGGCCATAGTTAGCCTGCCACTAAAAACACCCAAAGCAAAACTATTAATACACAAGACTGTCGATGTAAATGTCTGTGTTGATAGAATAATTTTAGAAGTAAAACCAACTTTTGCATTTATTATGTCTGAGCAGCAGCAGTGAGTTGTTCTTCCTGATTGAAAGCTTGGCAGCAGCAGACTGATATATGAGAAAATAGTCCCTCAATATTGGGACGATTCATGTGATGCAAGGTTAGTTTTATTTCAAACATTATTCTATCAATACAGACATTCACATCAACAGTCTGGTGTTATAATAGATTTGCTTTGGGTGTTTTGTGGAGTGGGTAAGACTGTTTTAGTGGCAATCCAATCCAATCCAACTTTATTTGATTAGCACATTTTACAAACAAAACAGTTTCCAAAGTGCTTCACATAATAAAGCAACATTTTACTTTAAAACGAAACACTAAGAGACGCTAATAGAAAAATAAAAAAAAGTAATAATAATAAAATCAATGAACAAAAATAATAAAATCAATACATAAAAGCAGTACTAAAAAATAAAATCAATAAAAACAATAAATAAATAAATAAATAATAAAATATAAGACACAGAGGACCACACAACTCACGCTGTATTAAAAGCCAGAGAATAAAAGTGGGTCCTAAGACGAGTCTTAAAACAGTCCACTGTGGGGGCCGTTCGGACATGGCTAACTGTGGCAGGCTAACTATGGCCATTGACATGCACTAGCCTAGCACCAGTGACCTCTGCAAATACAAGGACTGGATGGAATATTTAAAAAAGTGTCTCAACAAGTCTCCAACACTCTGGCTCACTAGGAAATGAGGTCCTATGTCCAAAATTTCAAACTGTCCCTTTAGACAACGCATTAACATCTCCACAGAGACAAGCAGCTGGCAGATCGTCCAACAGAAAAGTTACATAATCCCCCTTTAATTTTAACTAGCAGCACTTATCCAGGCACTGTATAGAAATCTCTCCCCCTGTTCCCCAGCTCCTTGTGGGCATCAGACGGAGCCTCGTAATGGGGCTCTGGAGAGTCTGATGGTGCCCCTCCTGGAATGTCTGGTGTGGAGGGCTGGTCTGAAAAATATCAGGTCTCTCGTGAAAATCATACTTCAGGTTTTACAATCCACTTTATAGAGCCGCAAAAATTGTTAACTTCTTCGTTTGGTCGTTGTAATTTCACGTTCCAAAATCTCAAGTGTTCAGAACAAAGCATCGCAGTAATTCATTTATAGTGCAAGTACCGGTCAGGCTGAAGATTTATAGTGAGTCAGTCTTTGGACTTAAAAGTTACATAGTCCACCTTTATGGTTTGGGAGTCTGTCATCTACTTGTTTCTATGGATATGCCTGCCTGGAATGTTCCACAGTATGACATTAAACAGTTTTGTGGGTTTTTTTTAGCTCAAAAATACCTAGAAAAAACAGGTATTCTGACTGTGAGCAGGGTTGTCTCTCCACAGATCTGACCTGTAACTCAGTGTGGTTTGGTCTTCATGATGATAGAAAGATTTAATACCATGCTTTAATACATCTCCATCTCCCTCCACCAGAAAAGTTACACAATGTACCTTTAAACAAAATCCAAAGAAATAATGTGAGTTTAACCCCAAATCGCTGATATTATATTTTCTTGTTTAGTTAATTCATTTTTCATATTAACAGTAAATCTTCTGGGATACACAGAAACATGATATTGGGGGAGACTTTTATTAGGAGTTGCCAAAAATTTGTAAAACTAATACAAAACATTGAAATCAGTTGTGAAAAGCAAATACTTGGGCCACACACAGTTCAAGGAAAAAAGCAAATAATAGAATTTAAATTTGAAGAACCACAAAATTGTTAACGTCTTCATTTATTATTTCAAGTTACAAAATCTCGACTGTTCAAAACAAGCATCATAACAATCATTTATAGTACTTATATTATAGTAAATATTCACGCTTTGGACTAAAAATATTTAGGCTAAACCCAAAAAATCCCCCATAGAAAATGTATGTTTGTATGTCTTAACAAATTAATTCCCAAGTTCTTCTTCTTTCCAAATCTCCTGAGATACATTCAAAAAATATGATATATATTATTTTGCGAAGACATCTATCAAGAGTTGCCAAAAAGTATTATTGCTACCACTAGGGGTGTAACGATATCCAAGTCTCACGGTGCGATATCGTCACGTAT